AGGATATATAACATACTTAAAAGATAAAGAACGACAGGCAAGAATAAGATTATCAAAAATAAAACGCTTTAAGAACCTTAGCATTAATAACAAAAGAAAGATTTATATTGCCCTTGTCAAATCAATTATGGACTACCCACCCATCCCATTGAACACCCTTAGTAAAACGAGCATTAAAAGGTTACAAACAGTACAAAATATAGCCCTCAGATTTATATATAACAAAATATACAGACCACATCAATAATGAACAGCTACACAAGAGAGCAAACCTCTTAGCAATCACTGTAGAAATACACAACAAAGCTGCAAATATTTGGAAAAAAGTGACTGAACTTAACACAAACATATCAGAACTGGATAAATAATATAAACAACGAAGAATTCCAAGAACACAGTTGGTTTAAATCAGCCAGGAAGAAAGTAATTGAACCATCTCCTGCCCCAATATACATATAAAACATTAATAGAGAGAATAAAAGATGAGAGTGACCTACCAGCTCCACAAGAACCTGGCAGGCCTCTCCATACAGAGTACCTTTAGACTAACATAACTAACATTTAACTAACATCTTCGCAAAAAAAAATAAAAAAAAAAAAAAATAAAAAAAAAATAAAATGTGACTACCCTCCCAGCTACACAAGGACCTGGGCGGGCTCGCTAACTCAAAAAAAAAAATAAATAAATATAAAATAATAATATTAATAATAATAATGTGATTACCCTCCCAGCTATATCAGCCAGGAAGAAGTAATTGAACCACCTCCTGCCTCAATATACACATTTCTACATAAAACATTACTAGAGGAATAAAGATGAGAGTGACCAACCAGCTCCACTAAGAACCTGGCAGGCCTCTCCATACAGTGTACCTTTAGACTAACACAACTAACACTTAACTAACACCTCAAAAAAAAAAAAATGTGACTACCCTCCCAGTTACACAAGGACCTGGGCGGGCTCACTAACTCCAACAATAACAAATAATAATAGTAAGCAGCATTATATAAATAAACCAATATTAATACAAAGGTCTGACGACCCAAGGGAGCAGAACAAAGACAAAACACCAATAAGAAAGATGAAGCGATCTGGTTGAGCCCAGATTCTTTCTACTCCTACTGTATTTCAGTTTCACCACTTTTCCTTCAACTCCTAATAATCTTCTTTCACCTCTTAACTAAAGACTTCGTATCGTATCGACCAGTCTCTTTCCACCTACACCAGCCAGCCAGCAACACTCCTCCTCCTCCGCCTGTCTGGCGGTCCTTGCTCCCGCCGGAGAGCATGGCGACCCACAAGCTGTCCTCCTGTGAGCATCCTCACCAACCAGCTCTCTCTACATTATGCTTGTAACCATGCTGCCTTCCCAACACCAAGCTGCATTGTACATCCACTACAACATGTATAAAGAGAGCACATTGTGAGTTTCCTTTCTCCATCCCACCCTGAGTGAGCACCAAACATAACATCCCCACAATGGTGACTCCCGGAGATTCGCACTAATACAGGATGGAGGAGAAACAGATCACGCTCCCAGTCTTCAAGCAACATGGAAGACTGGCTTATCCACCCAGAAGCAGCTCTCATCGGCTCTACAGCTACTGTCTCTACACCGCAGGTTAGACACCCTAGAGCAGCTCTGCTACTCTAAGCAGACAGTCACTCCTCTTCCGACCCCAGCACACCCGTCCTGCCTCAGACGCCGACCCCGGCCCAGCAGTAACCCCTGCCGCCCCTGACGCGGCCCCTGTTCCTGAGTGCGGACCCACACACCCCTCTTTTCTCCCTCAGGTACTCCCTGCTAATGTCCTGCACCCTGCTACTGTCATGGACCCAGCTGCTGTCACGAGCCCTCATCCACTTCTGCTGACGCAGCCCCTGCTCCTGACCCAGGCCCACACACCCCGGAAGGCGCATCTGACGACTCTGTACCTGCCGTGAGGGAAGAACAAAATTCATCGCCTCCACACACCCTTTTTCTCCCTCTTTACTCCCACAGATATTGTGTATCTAGACAGTTGTCCCCAGCGACCGGCTCATCCACGCCATCGCCGTTGTCTCACATGAGGCATGCACCGCCCGTTCTGCCTCACATGTGCTATGCAACCCTGCAGACAACAAGTCTCCTACACCACCTGGAGGGAAGGGGGAGTATTGTAGTGGATTTCTCCCCTACAAACGCTGTATGTCGCTGAGTAGCCGACCCCACCAATTCCCCAGTGTATGCCTCATGTTCTAGGTCAACCAGCGCTGCCATACATCACGGAGCGGGGGTCAACTACTAAGCCACGCCTACCCCCACTATTTAAGACCTGACCTCGTGGTTGTCATGGTCACGCTGACTGCTGATCTATTTAACTAATGATTCTTATTAAACTCCACGCCCGCAAAACATGAGTGAGTTAGCGACCCCTGAGAAGACATGTTTTTCCCCATAGACGCTACACTTGTGTTCCCTCCCAGAGTCCCGCCTTTGTGAAGACAGTTGTCAATGCGTTGCTATTCCACTTTCTCCAGGGAAGCTCAATCTTGAATTAGTTTGTGTAAATCAACTCAAGTAATTCGCCAGACCTTTGTCAACTGAGGGTTATCTTTGAATGAGTAACAGTTAGTTTGTTTGTAATTATTGTCATTGCGTGAGTAGCGATCACTGGCAACTCAGGGGTATATATACCCCATGACAAGCCAAGGAAAGCGTTCCCTGACGCTGCTTCCATGTTTCTCCAGGTATGTTTTGTGTAGCCATTCAGTTAATTCAGTCAATTGTAGTGAATATCAGTGATCACCAGTGTTCATGATTTAACAGTTGAATTGTCATTCACCCAGTGTAGAAGTAATATAACGTAAATACGTCTGTCGTCTAGACAAGAGAGTTGTTTTTGTTGTCATGTTTCCCAGTTCCCTGACGCTGCTTCCATGTTTCTCCAGATCCCATTGTGATTCTTGCAACCATTCAACAACGGCCTCGGATGTAGTAGATGACCAACAGGGATCATATACGAAACGATGGCACCGATGCGGCCTGGTTAATGTGCCCCACGGCTTCGTTGGGCCAGACCCCAGACCCGCCATGTGTCTGGCTACCCCATAATAACAACAGTCGTGAGCCCTAGTGTTCTACCCTGGGTTACTCCTTGGAAGTGTATGTCCACAGAGAGGGTTGTAACATGTATGTTAGGGATAATTAGATGGAAATAATTATCCCATGTTGGGTAGTGGACCCCTGTATATGCTAGTGTCAGTATTAACGTATGTTGAGTACAATAAGCTACAATGAGTGCCATGTAATGTAACACCAGTAATGTTGTGAGTAAGAGTTAGAATGGAGTACCGAATCTGCAATAAGCCCAGGAGGTGAGCCTGGTAGTTATATGATTAATACAATATCTTTCTCCATTGATTGCATATTAATAAACTTGTATTTAGAGTACTTTAGGTGTATTCCTTTCTCCCACAGTATTTTATCTTTATTTCCATCCAAGTGACTTGATACCAGAATTACCATACCCATGTGCCTAGACCCTCGACCATGCTACCAAAGATGACCATGCTACCAAAGGAATGACCATGCTACCAAAAGAATGTCCATGCTACCAAAAGAATGACCATGCTACCAAAAGAATGTCCATGCTACCAAAAGAATGTCCATGCTACCAAAAGAGTAGGTGACGGAACAGAGTAAGACTAAGAGAGGTAAGTAAGATGAGGGTGGTGTAGATACAGAGAGGGAAACCGCACCCTCATATGGTGACCTGTCTCTTTCCACCTACACCAACCAGCCAGCAACACTCCTCCTCCTCCGCCTCCGCCTGCCTGGCGGTCCTCGCTCCCGCCGGAGAGCATGGCGACCCACAAGTTGTCCTCCTGTGAGCATCCTCACCAACCAGCTCTCTCTACATCATGCTTGCAACCATGCTGCCTTCCCAGCACCAAGCTGCATTGTACATCCAATACAACATGTATAAAGAGAGCACATTGTGAGTTTCCTTTCTCCATCCCACCCTGAGTGAGCACCAAACATAACATCCCCACAACATAATACATCATCTACATATCTAAACCAGACTGGGGAACGTGGTAAAATATTACTTAATAGTTTCTATTCAAAGAATTCCATATATAGGTTGCTTAATACTGGTGAGAGTGGATGACCCATTGCCATACCAAATTATCCAGGGAATCTATGGGGAACTCGAGTAAATCATCAACTGGGACCTTTGTAAAGAGTGATATTACATCAAAAGTGACGCGTGGAATCCATTATGCAAGTAGATCACTTTAGGTGCGCGTGATCCAGGTATATGCTGATAACCACAAGGAAAAAGAAAACACCAAGTTCCCAAGCGCTTTCGTGTAATTCACTGGTCAGTTTTGATGTAACATCACTCTTTACAAAGGTCCCAGTTGATGATTTACTGGAGTTCCTCATAGATTCCCTGGATAATTTGGTATGGGAATAACCTGACTATTGTGGACTTCATCTCACCTTCCTCTACTGTATATATATTTGCCTTGTTATGTATTTCTCCTTAGTCTGTACTCACCCATGAAGATGTTAATTACACGAAAGCGCTTGGGAACTTCGTGTTTTCTTTTTCCTTGTGGTTATCAGCATACACCTAGATCACGCGCACCTACAGTGATTTACTTGCATATATATATATATATATATATATATATATATATATATATATATATATATATATATATATATATAAACAGGAATAGCAGCTATAATTAATAGTAATACATATTTTCAATCTTAAGCATTAACTTCAAATCTTCAATTTTTACCCGATGAAAATTAACAATCAAAACAAAGACAGCTTGGGCGTGAGCTACAAGGTAAATACAATTATTCATTCTTATTTTGTAGTTGCAAATAACTTCTTATTAAGATTTACGTAATTTAACAAGTATTAAGCCTATTTAAAACCCATTCAGTTATTATATGCCCTTACGAAAAACCTTGTACATTTACGAGCCACAATATATGACGTTCATGTCGTAAACCCCGTTTGGCCCACCTTAAAATTTTGGATGTGGCCTCGCACTCTGGTCTGAATCTCTGTTCATTTTTGTCAGAGAAACTATTTAAATGTATCATTAGTGCTTGATATGGAGGTCATAATGTTTAACTACTCATGACAGTTTAAAAATAAACTACTCCAACGTATGTAAGTGTAATGGCTACAGGTAAAAGGGGAGAATGCGTGCATAAACAGCAACTTGAGGATATTTCTCGGGTAAGTTTCGTGTTATTAAACCTTTCGTTTCCCGTAGAAAGAGTTAAGGTAATAGTGGAGCAGACAGTTTGCACAGGATGACGATATGGAATTGCATCAAATTTTCATATGTTTGGATGATACTAAGTCAGAAAATCTAAACGACAATACACAGAACCTATTAGAACCTGGTAAAATTACAGCTTCGGGCATCCCTGTATTTAGATATCCAAACTAATCTAACGTAACTTAACCTAACCAACCTGGTAAATGTGCATATTACAGCTGGTCCGACTAATTACCCAAATATAGCCGCAATGAAGTCAAATAATGGTCCTACATGAATAAATCGGACTGCTAATCACTTCTCGACTAGTATTTGGTGTCAGAAAGTCACAAAAAATGGAAAACTTACTTTAATCTGAGTTAATAGATCGCGTGCTTGTACCGACAGAGTGAGGAATTACCCAAATGTACCCAAATGTAGTTAAATGTAGCCGCAATGAAGTCAAATGATGGTCGTACAAGCGTAGTTCGGGCTGTGAATCACTTCTCGATTATTATTTGGTGTCATGAAGTCAAAAAAAATTGGTAAACTTAATTTAATCTGAGTTGTGTTGTGTTAGGTTAGGTACTTGCACTTGATCTATTAACTCAGATTAAATTAAGTTTACCAATTTTTTGTGACTTCGTGACACCAAATACTAGTCGAGGTTAGGTTAGGTTAGATTAGATTAGATTAGGTTAGATTAGATTAGGTTAGGTATATGCACTTGATCTATTAACTCAGATTAAATTAAGTTTACCAATTTTTTGTGACTTTGTGACACCAAATACTAGTCGAGAAGTGATTGGCAGTCCGATTTATTCATCTAGGACCATTATTTGACTTCATTGCGACTACATTTTTTTACATTTGGGTAATTCCTCGCTCCGTCGGTACATACACGCGATCTATTAACTGAGATTAAAGTAAGTTTTCCAATTTTTTGTGACTTTCTGACACCAAATACTAGTCGAGAAGTGATTGGCAGTCCGATTTACTCATCTAGGACCATTATTTGACTTCATTCCGGCTATATTTGGGTACATTTGGGTAATTAGTCGGACCCTATTACAGCAACCATGGAATTTGAAGAAAAAAAATGGTTTCTGATGGGTTTTGATGTGATTAGTTCAAATCTGACCTTCATTTTGTTTCGAAAATCACTCGTTTGTGATTTAGCCCCACCCTGATAATAGTATTGTTCTATCGATTGCGTGTTCTGAATTCCCGGTACTCTGTGCTTGCTAACTTAAACCATATAACCAAACTAAACCTAACCTAACAACCTAGCCAGGGGATCCGCCACCGGACCCCTGGTGATCCCTAGCTGGGGGTTTTGCCCCCAGACCCGCAAACACTATGTAATAACCTTAGAGTCACGTGGTCAGCCTCCACGAGAATATAAATAGCTGTTAGAGTATTTCTTACCACACTCTGAGTCTGGGTCAGGGACCAGAATGCGTCGTGGGTTCCTATGTTCTCTAAAGTTTCCTTATTTTTAGAATGAAATAATACGATAAACTTCCAATAATCGAAATCGCACCCAGCACGTTATGGCTCCATGTTGCAACTGATTAAAAATGTCCCGCATCTTTGCACCCACTCCGAATATTCAACACTAATTGATTGAATCAAAAGTTAAGATTTTCTATTGGATTTGATTGGCTGGCACCTCCTGGCACATGCGCGGGAGGTTAGCGAACATACGAATACCCACAATTTGAGCAACAGGGTAGGGACAACAGGTGCTCTGATTTTATTATTTTTTAAATTCAATAACTTCCTTATTATCAATTTGCGAAGGAAGTGTACTATAAGAAAATGATCATAGAAAAAAATAGTTCAATCGATTGAGTTTAGTGAATTCTGGAATTCTGTGGTTGCTGTAAACTGCATAATTACCACCAACCTAACCCAACGGTTAGGTCATTTTGGTCTTGCAGCGAATTTTTGGATTTTAGGTTAAGCTTTTATGAAGTTTAGGGTAGGTTTTGTTATGCTACATTGAAATTATGGTTTTCTGATGGTTTTTGATGCACCCTGAACGACTTCCAAATAGGTGCATGACCGAAACGATAATTTTACCATCTAACTTAACCTAACCTAAACATCTTATCCCCCCTGAAATTCCCTGGATGACCAAAACTAAAATAAAACCTACTGGTAGAACCTTTCCTAACTTCAGTAGTGTATAAGAACACTACTACAACCAGAAGAAGTTGCTTGAGTTTGTTCCTTTTTCCACAGATGTTCTTATTATAGTACCGGGTAAGTATTTTAAAAGAGGCGACATTTACTAAAACTTGCTAATATCGATGACTAACCTGTTGATGCGTTATTTGTTTTGATGTTTATTTTCTTACTGTATTTTCATCAGTGAGTTCTGATATGATAATCATTTCCTTAGAAAATGGTAACTATTGACGACTGACCTGCTGCTGATTTTTCATAGCAACTTATTATAAACACACCGCAACTTCACTGTGTATTATAGTGGACATTGTCATAGTTTGTGCAAATGTAAGACCAGGAATATTTTGAATATAAATGTCATATATTTTGCACAAAAGATAACATAGTTACTCTGAGAAAATTTTTTATCTAAAATTTGTATGTCTAATGCAAAATATATGATGTTTATATTCAAAATGATCACCAAATTATAAGAATTCCAGCAATGTAAATTATATTCTGGCCGGGTAATTTGTATGAATTTTATGAGCTAAAACAGGCAGTCAGGCAAGGTGGGGCTCTAAAATAGCTGCTCAGCCGACACTCACCGCAAGATATGTGAAAAATCCACGGTTATGAAATTACTCTGCAGGCACCGCGAGACATGATAGTAACGCTATGAAACCGCTGCTAGGCGGGTAATATTGTATATATATATATATATATATATATATATATATATATATATATATATATATATATATATATATATATATATATATATATATATATATATATATATATATATATATATATATATATATATATATATATATAGTATATATATATATATATATATATATATATATATATATATATATATATATATATATATATATATATATATATATATATATATATATATATATATATATATATATATATATATATATATATATATATATATATATATAGTCAACCCTCACTTTACGCGGTCCCACATTCCGCGTTTCCACGTTAACGCGGTGCCTTGCCAGAACCTAACGTGCTCACATTACGCGGTGCGTGAACCCCATTACGCGGAGAGTGTCCGGCGCGACGCTATTTTTAGATTCGCCCCACCCGCCTGCCTGCCTGTGCTCCTCGCCTCTCCCTCCTCCTCCCTCCGCTTGGGCAAGCCGCGCGGTAAGGTTGCGCAGTGTGTGTCTTTGTTGCGTTATCACTGACGTCATATGACGTATCGGACTGTGATTGGCCATGCATCCCTACCCCCCTCTGCTGCTAGCTGTAATTGGCTTAAAGTATTATGACGTGTCCACCCGGGGGAGGGAGGGAGGGAGGAAAGATGATCCTTGACCTAGCCGCGCCAGTTTCATCCCTCCACGCCAGACCGTGTAAACGTGCATCCATTGTTCTCTAAAATGGCTTCCGCCGGACCACCACCCCCAGAGAGAAACCTTTCCTTACCTGGACCCAGCGGCACTAAGCCAAAGAAGACACGACGTTCCTTAAGCTACGAGGTGAAGTATACCATCATCCAAGAGTTGGAGAAAGGAACAAGGCAGGTTGATTTGGCGCGCCAGCATGGTGTGAATGAATCTACGATTCGAACAATAAAGAAGGATGCAGCCAAGATAAAGGAGCACATGAAGATCAAGAGTCTACAGGTGCTTCTATGATCAAGTATTTTCACAACCAGGTGCTTCTCAAGACAGAAAAATTACTTGTGAGGTACTTGGTGCGTCAGGCGCGACGGAACATGGCGGTCGACACTCACTCTGTTAAGGACTACGCATGTGAACTGTACATGGCAGTGGCACGAAAGATGGGAACTACAGAGCCCAAACCCTTTAATGCTTCCTCTGGGTGGTTACAGAGGTTTAAGATCCGGAACAAGATCACCAATATAAACATTGGTGGTGAAGAAGCGAGTGCTGACCGTGCTGCGGCTAGGGAATTTCCTCTGTTTTTACGTGAGATTATGGAGGAAGGACAGTACAGTGACGACCAGGTGTTTAACATGGACGAATCTGGTCTTTTCTGGAAAAAGCTACCTTCCAAGTCCTTCGTTGTAAAGAATGCCTGCAAGATTCGGGGCCGGAAGATGCAGAAGGAACGCATCACTGTCCTGTTTACCACCAATGCCTCCGGTACCAGTAAGCTCAAGTTATCGGTGATCCACACAGCACGCAAGCCGCACGCCTACAAAACCATGAACATGACCAAGCTAAATGTCCACTGGCTGACCCCACGTAAGGCGTGGATTTTCTCTACACTGTCCCTCTCCTGGTTTGATGACTGTTTTGTTCCCGATGTAAAGAAATTCTGTGAGCAACAGAATGTGCCATTCAAGATTTTGTTGCTGCTGGACAACGCACCAGGACACTCGCCCCTACTGTTAGATCGTCACCCCAACGTAAAAGTGGTCTTCCTTCCTCCCAACACTACGTCTATATTACAGCCCATGGACCAAGAGTTAATCTGTAATATAAAAGCTGCATTCTCTACGAAAAAATTCAAACTCCTGAATGACTACACCAACACCAGGGAAGAGTTGCGCAACCTGAGTGACACCACCACCGATAGTAAGAGCGAAGAAGATGAGGATCAACAGTTGGCACAGCAAAAAATACTGTTCAAACAATTCTGGAGAGTATTTAACATCAAGAAAGCTGTGGACTTCTTGGTGGAGTCATGGGATCAGCTGTCTATTGCTACAATTCGTCACGCATGGAGACATGTGTTGCATGGAATACCAGGTGAGAGGAGGAGTCAATCTGTGACTGGTGAGGTTCAGACTCTT